CCGTGTTACAGTCATCAAAGACCTCGATGTTAAATTCAGTGGTTAGATTTGGTCTTAAACTTGAATTACGAGCAGATTTTGACGTAGTCATCTCTCTGTCCTCAAAATACATTCTTTGCTTGGCTTTTAAGATGCTTTTCTTCCCTGATTTGCTACCTCACTGGTGGTTCTTGTCTGTCATCTCTTTCTGTAAACCAGAACTATACAATGGAAATGTAAGCCACATGTATAGTTTGATTTAGTGTTCTAGTGGCCATAGGTGAAAATAATTTGAATGCTGTATTTTATTTAACTCTATATCTAAAATATTAGTGTTTTGGCTGCATAGTATTGTGTGAAGAGTACAGTTTTTGAATACTTATTTCTGACAAAGGATGCTGCAATTACTGGACAAAAGTATAATGAGACACAGGATATGTACTTAGTCTCAAAAAATATCTTTCCACCAGATACTTACTAATTACAAAGGGAAAAATGATAGCTTTGTCATGGAGAAACTTGGCGGATAGCACCTTAGTCAAGTGGCCAGAATTATCAGTAATTAGACAGATTGACATGTGCCTACTTATACAGTGTTCTAGGAAGGACATATCACTTCTGTGGTATTCCTATCAAATATGATATAACTTAAGTGTAATCTTGAAGAAACATCAGGCACACCTGTTACTGAGGGATGTGCTACAAAATGTATATTACAAAGTATTGTTCAAAATACACTATTTTGAAGTACTGTTTGAAAAGATACTTCTAAATGTCAGATACGAAAGTTAAGGACAGAGGAAATGCTCCGGATCAAAGGAGGTTAGAGACATGAATTTCTTTATTTGGTAATTGTACTGTGGTTATGTAAGAGGAAGATTTTGTTTTTAGGAAATCATACTGAAGTATTTAGAAGTAAAGGGGCATCATGGTCTGCAACTTAATCTCAAAGGTTTCATTTTGTCACCATCACAAGTGCTAACCTGTTTGTTAATACTCACAAACTCTGTCTTCTCTCTTGTTAAGGTGAAAGTATTCCTGTTACAGTCTAAGCTCAGCTCCTCCACTGTGTTGCATTACTAGGCTCTCCTTCACTACTCGCTTACTCTAATCGGCGTGTAAACATGCTTTACATTCATTTGAAAGCACCACAGTTTCGTTGATCCCATGGCTCCTTGTATCTACAATCCCATTTCCCAGCCACTCTCCAGGAAAAACTTTAATGATTTGCTTATTCTACTTTTTCTTTCGTTTTCTCTTTATGTACTCCAAATGGTCGTTCTTTACCACCACTATGGAGAACTGGTCTTTACCCATCTTGCTAAATTCAGTGTTTTCACCCCTCCCTCTCCAGCCTGTGAGCATCATTAGACCCAGTTGACACACTGTGAAATACTTTTTTCCCTTTGTCTTCTTAATACCAGTCTTTTGGATTTCTTTCTGCCTCACTGGTAAGTCTAGTTCCTGTGCTTGCATCTCTAATTGCTAGGGTACTCGTGGACTCCCTTCCTCCTCCATAACCGCTCCCTAGGTTGATTTCCTCTACTTATGTGGCATTCAATATCAACTAACTATACACTGATGAAGTCCAAATTTATACCTCTAGCCTTGAGTCCTTCCCTGACTTCTAGTCTCAAGCAAGTGAAATCTGAAATCTCTACTTGGATGACCAAAGAAATTACAAACTTGATATGCCCAAAATTGTACTTCATTTCTGCGCTTACTCCTGCTCCTCTCAAATACTGCCTTTTCCCAGGAAATGGTACCATCACCTGCTTAGAACAAAACACTAAAAATGAGGCTTGATTGTACAGTTTACCTCATATCCACATTCAGTTCATCAGCATATCATGTTAGTGCTACCTTTGAAATATATCCTAATTTTTTTTTTTTTTTTGACCAACTTCTTACTCTCCCCACGGTTGCAATCCCAATCCAAGTCGTCATCAGCCCTTGCTTGGACTGTTGGTTAGAGTCCAATGTCTGGTCTCCCTAGTTTCACTCTTACTTCTGTCCTCAAGTACACAAATCTTCAAGAGTGATCTTTAATGGTAGCAGTCTGTTTACGTGACTCTCTTGCTCTCACTTACCTAGTAACTTAGATTAAATTCTTATTACTGAGGTTTATATACCCAGGACCTGTGGTGTTCTTCCAGAAAGATAGTTTTCCTAAGACTCTTCTTGGCAAACTTACAGATAAGGTTTATGGATATTTTTGTTTTGTTGTTTTTCCTACACAGTGTTGGTCTGGTTTTTTAAAAATAGGAAGATGAGGCTGGATGTGGTGGCTCATGCCTGTAATCCTAGCACTTTGGGAGGCTGAGATGGGTGGATTTACTTGAACTTAGGAGTTAGAGACCAGCCTGGACAACATGGCAAGACCCCATCTCTACTAAAAAAAAAAAAAAAAAAAAATTCAGCCTAGTGTGGTGGTGCATGCCTGTATTCCCAGCTACCTAGGAGGCTGAGGTGGGAGGATTGCTTGAGCCCAGAGTGGGGTGGAGGTTATAGTGAGCTGAGTTTGCGTCACTGCACTCAAGCCTGGATGACAGTGAGACCCTGTCTCAAAAAAAAAAAAAAAAAAAAAAGAGGGTTGGGGGGAGATTTTACATTGAAAAAGAAAAACCTAGATTTTTTTCTAAAACATTAGGAGACCTGACCACACTGGCCCTGTATTCATGCATAGCCACAACAGGATAAGTAGTGGCTGACCCCTTCTAAATGAAGCATATGTTTTCCAATTTGCCGGTCTCCACCATTCCCTAGTGTATGTTGTAGTCAGCCAGATATATTTAGGAAGATAACCTGCCTTTTGAGTTCATGACCCCTGCCCTGGAATAAGTCGTTCGTTGAACACATATTTATTGAATAGAAGTCTATTTAGCACTATTCTAAGTCCTGGAGGTAAAATAGTAAATAAAGCCGTGAACTCATGGATTATACCTGTCTTGGGACAGATAGTCAATGCATATGTAATTAAATACATATATAATGTCACGTGGTGATAACTGCCATGAAGAAAAATAAAGCAGGATAAGGGGATATAAAATGGTGGATGGTGCTGTCTTAGAATGCATAGGGAAAACCCCTATTTGAGGATTTGACATTAGAACAGAGGCTGGAATATAGTAAGGGATGAAGCCTTGTAAATATTTTGAAGAAAATCATTTTGGTGTGGGAGCCTTGAGAGGAGAATGTGTTTAGTATGTTTGAATGACAACAAGAAAGACCTGCCAGACTGCAGTGCAGTGAATGTGAAGTGGTGGGAAAGAAGGTTGGTGAGGGAAACCGGCTCATGTGATGCAGGGCCAGAGAGGCCATGGTGGGCTTTGGGATTTTGCTGTGAGGTAGAAAACTCTTGAAAGGTTTTGAATAGGAAGTGACATGATCTTACTTATTTTCAAACAATCCTTCTGCCTTCTGGTGGTGTATAAATTATAGCAGGGACTAGTGTGGTAGGTGGGGGAGTTGTCTGGAGGTGGTTACAAGAGTGAGCAATAGTGGTGACTTAAACTAAAGATAGCTGTGAAAGGGTGAGTAGTTGGACTAGAGTTTGAAGATAGAGCCTACAGTGTTTTCTGATGGATTTGATACAGGATGCAGAAAAACAAGAGGAGTCGAGGCCAGGTTTTCAGCCTGAGCAACTCTAGGTAGATAGTAGTGCCGTTTAGTGGTATGGTAAACGCTAGGAAAGGGGGCATCAAGCTTCTTTTTGGAGATGTAAAATTTGAGAATCCTATTTGATGTCCAAGTAGAGACAGACTATAAACTTCATCTAGAGGATAAGCTTATATAGCTTTGTAATGTAATGAGTCTTTTTTTTTTTTTAAGGACTCGATTAGTAAAATATCCCGGAGGTCTTTGACACCAAGGGCGTAGGGTTTGTTTTCTTACTGTTTGTGGGATATAGTACCTCACTTGAATTTGATGCTCACTGTGTTTGTTTGTTTGTTTGTTTTTTTTTAAGAATCCAGAAATTGTGCTGTGGCTCCATCCCCTTTTGAACCATTATTTTAGGATTCTATCTACATTTTTATTTGAGGCAGAGTCTCACTCTGTCGCCCAGGTTGGATTGCAATGGTGCGATCTCTGCTCACTGCAGCCTCCACCTCCCGAGTTCGAGTGATTTTCCTGCCTCAGCCTCCCAAATAGCTGGGGTTACAGGCACACGCCACCATGCCCAGCTAATTTTTTTGTATTTTTATTGTAGACGGGGTTTTACTATGTTGGCCAGGCTGGTCTTTAACTCCTGACCTCAGGTAATCTGCCTGCCTCGGCCTCCCAAAGTGCTGGGATTGTAGGCACAAGCCACCGTGCCTAACCCTATCTATGTTTTTATAGGAATTATAGTGGCAAAAACACTGTTTTAATGGGGCTTATGACTTGTTAATCATATCAGCCAGATGACAGTAAATGTATTTTCTTCAAAGGAAGTCCAGCAAATCACTTAATTTGTTAATGACTCAGCAATGAAATCATTTAAAAAATGATTTGGGGGATGGGGGTCGTATGTCTGAATGGCTCAGTCTTTTTCCTTCCAGTGTACTGTAGTGGAACATGGTTTTGCTCTCACTTTGAATAATTTTCTTTGAGAAATCTTAACTGTAAGCAGTCATTTAATAATTTTTTAAGTAGTCTTATCTAAATCTTGCAGCCTGGTCCTTAAACAGTAATTACTGTATATTTACTATTCACCTGTGAATGTGAGAATACTTTGTGAGAATTATTACTTTGTGATATTTTCATAAGCATTACACTTATATGGCAAATGAACGTATTAAATTGCCTAAGGACAAGCAACTGAAAGTAAGGACAGAGACAACATTAGGTGTTTTATGTGTATGCCTTCAAGAAAAGCTTGGGTGTATCCTAGTAATATTTAGACAAGCAGGATGACCTCCCATTTCTGTTTCTTTATTAAATAGTGATTTTGTAGAGAACTATAAAGAAAAGTTTTATATTTTGCCACAATTTAAGGTTTTGTTGCTATTCATGAGCCTGATTATTCCCTTTTTGTATAGGAAGATTTTCAGTCTATGACTTATGGATTTAAAATGGCTAACAGTGTGACAGATCTTCGAGTTACAGGTAAAATTATTTTTAAAGATAATTCACAAGTTTTACATTTTCATATGTTTCCTTTTAAAACTTACTGTTTCTTTTTGTAGGCATGCTAAAAGATGTGGAGGATGACATGCAAAGAAGAGTAAAGGTATATATGTTTTCTCTTTGATGTAGGGTTTTGGTACACCTCTAAATGTCAGGTTAACTTTACCTAATTACAAATGTGTAGAACCACCTTTCTCCTGTATGTGCTTTGTATTTTTTTTTTTTTTTTGGGGTAATGAATTTGAACACTGCTAGAGGAGTTTCTGATAAATGAATGTCATTTTCAAGTATAGCCATCCCTCAGTATTCTCAGGGCATTGGTTCCAGGACCCCTGTGGATGCCAAAACTCAAGGATGCTCAAGTCTCTTATGTAAAATGGTGTGATATTTGCATATAACCTGTTTATGTCCTTCTGTATACTTTAAATCATCACTAGATTACTTATAATATTTAATATGATGTAAATGCTATGTAAATAGTTGTACTTTTAAAATCTATATTTTTAAATGCTATTTTAAAATTTTTTTCTGGATACTTTCAGTCAGTGGTTGATTGAATCCAACCCATGGGTAAAGAGAGATGAGTATATTAAAATTTAACCCACTTGATTCTTTCAACTTTTTGCCGGTGTTTTAGAGTTTTTTACTATGCTATTTTAAGAATAGTATTTTTCAAAAAAAAACAAAACAAAAAGAATAGTATTTTTCTCCCACTACTGTTTTGAGTTCCTCAAAGGTAAGGACTGTCTTATTCACCTTTGTATCTTTAATAGCTGGTACAGTGTCTGGAACACAGTAGGTGAGCTCAGTAAATGGTAATATGCCAAATCTGGTGAAAACCTTCTAGATGACCTTGATGATTTGCTGCTTTTCATAGAGATTAAGAAGGGGGAAAAGTTGTATTTCTACTTTTCTTTTTAATGCTAGTATAACAATATGGTTGTCAAACTTCATATTCTCTTTTTTTGATTTTTGCAATTCAGTGAATTGGGCAATTTGACACACATAGTGCTCCACTTTTAGATGAGGAAAATACAGATCAAAGGAGTTAAGTAACCTGTGTCTTAGCTTTACTAAAGGGCATGTAAATGGCAGCTTTAGGGCTAGAACCCACAACTTCTAGTAGCTCTTCCTGTAGTACCACCCTGGTATTTGGTCAAATAAAATTGTCCACTATAACATTTGTATTAAGATATTTTGTATTTTAGTGTAAAACAAATCAGTATTGACCATTGAACTTTATTTTTTCATGATGTGATTTTTGTAAAGGTTACAGTTTTTTTCTAACAGGGTTAGTTTTGAGAGCATCAGGAATTTCAATTAATAGCTCCTTTTAAAGGAAAATGTACTGTATGTCATATACTTCTGCTTATGTTATTTCGTTGTTTTGTTTTTGCTGTTTCAATACTTAATTCTTTTGCATGATCTTTATAATTTATGTCAAAATGACCTTTCTGTATATAGAATTAATAGGAGGAACGTAAATACTAGACACAGCTTTTTTTCTCCAACAGTTTTTCCCAAAAACAGATTGTTGTGTATACTCAAAAAATTAGTGTTTTACCTTATATATTTGTAATGTAATATTTTTTCAGGTTTGTGTTTAACTCACCTTTTTTAAAATTTTAGAGTACTCGAAGTCGACAAGGAGAAGAAAGAGATCCAGAAGTTGAACTAGAAGTAATTGAACTTATTTTCTGGTAGATAATATCAGAGAAGTCTACCTGTTAATGTTGTAGTTTTATGAACTGCGTTATAATTTATGGAAGCCCTTTTTAAGGTATTTCTTTAAAAATTGGACATTGCAAGGGATTTTATTTCCCTTGTATTTATTTTGATAGAATGATAATACAGCTCTTTCAAATAGATGATTTCAAAACTCTTCAGTATTCCTGTGAGGTAGGAAGAAAAATATGATCTTTCACAGATGATGCGTCAGAGCTCCACAGTGTCAAACGTTGCTGAACCTTTGTCGAGAGAGCTCCACAGTGTCAAACGTTGCTGAACCTTTGTCGAGAGAGCTCCACAGTGTCAAACGTTGCTGAACCTTTGTCGAGATTCTAAATTTTCTGACTCTGCTTAAAGCACATTTTAATCAGTCTTTTTAAAATGTAGATAAAATCAGCTTTTTGAGGTAATAGTGTAACTTTTGACTTAGGACAAGATCAGTCCTGTTGATATAGAAGCTTCACATTCCTATTTCAAAAGAATAGGCTTTGTTTTGTTTTCTGCAGCTCATTTTTCAGGCTTTTAAAAGCCTATAAGCGAAGGTGTCTGTAATGTAGTACGTTACTAACATTGAGACTTAGGAGTTAATATATTTTAAATGAAATTCCTTTCATGGACTTTGCATCTTTTAACTTCTAGTCCTTTCTTGTTTTTTTAGCACCAACAATGTTTAGCAGTATTCAGCAGAGTGAAATTTACTCGTGTGTTACTGACAGTGCTTATAGCCTTTACTAAGAAAGAGGTAAGGGCATTCGATATCATATGTCTGTTTGTTTTAGTGATTTTGGATGGAATGCCTGAGTGATGCAGTTCTGAAACTTTTCCCTTGAAGTGCTCCTGATCTCAGATAAAGAGAACTCAGCATTTGGTGTATTTATACCAGAGTAACCCTGAAGACCTTCTCAAGAAGTATATTTTTTTACTTATTTGTAAATAATACATTAGAAGCTGAAATTGCTTGTAGGTTGTCATATTTTGTGAATTGAAAAGGAGAGAGTAAAAATTTTAGGACTATTCTTACCTTCAGTTACATAATTAATTGGTAGATTTCTATAGAACCAAAAGCAAGCCTTAGATGGTGAATATTTTTTCTTTTTTGTATTTTTGCACTAATTCAAGCCAGTTACAGATTAATTTGTGAATAGTTTATAAGTGGTGAGTAGGGATCCAATTTTTACCATTAATTTAACTTCTGTAATTCTATTTCTTCCCGGTTTTTTTTCCCCCCCACCTTGATGAATGACATAGAATTGTTGAAAATATTCTCATTTTCTAGTTGATTGCATCTTTGGTTTTTATTATTAAAAAAGAAAAGGTAAACCAAAAATATTTTCTATTGTTATAATTGATCCTACAAGTTTTATAGATGTGAGTGAAAAAACCATTTTCTATCCTAACAGGATCTGGACATCCTGTATTAAGTACATAGTTTATGAAAACCAATGTCATTACAGCAAGCATTTAATTTCATTATTGTTTATAGGATTTTCCTATTTAATGTATATCTTTCAGTGAAAGAATATGTAAGAATGTTTTTGGTGATTTATTTGCTAGACCAGTGCTGTTGCAGAAGCTCAAAAATTGATGGTTCAAGCAGCAGATCTTCTTTCTGCCATTCATAATTCATTGCATCATGGCATCCAGGCCCAGAATGATACTACAAAAGGAGGTAATTGTTCAGTTTGCTTCTACTCTTTCTTTTCTTCGTTTCCATCAAAGTATTTAGTGTTTAGCTTGTACTAAAGTTTTTTTCAAGTCAGTCTTGTACCTTGGAATGTTTTACTCCAGAGACTTACAGTGTTTAGGTTCTCCTCTATAAATATATACTACACTAAAAAACAATACTGTACAACTTGGCCATTTCCTGTATATTACTATTTAGACTCAGAATATGTATCCTGTCTTACATTCAAGCTGTGATGTTACAGCCTGACGGGTTCTTCTTGCTGCCCAGAAAAGCCAACGCAGTGAGAACAGCAGAGAAGGAGTTTAATTATCATGAGGTCAGCTGAGTGGAAAGATAAGAGCTGTTTCTCAAATCTTCCTCCCTGAGAATTCAGGGACTAGAGTTTTTGAAGAATAGTTTGGTGGGCAGTGGGTGAGCAAGGAGAGGTTTGTTTCAGGAAGGGACAGTTACCATCTTTATTTTAAACTGTAAACTAGATTTGTCCCATAGTTGCTTGGCCTACACCAGGAATGAGCAAAGACGGCTTGTGAGGTTAGAAGCAAGACGGAGTCAGCTATGTCAGGTTTCTCTCATAATTTTTACAACGGCTATTTCAGTGTTAACAGTGAATCACCTTTTTCATCACCTCTCCTCTTTACTCTTTTGTCTGAGAGATCATCACTTCCATTACACATGTTAGAAATGCTTGTTCCCCGGTGCTGTAAAGAAATAGCACTTGAACATAAATTTTATTTCCTCAGCAAGGCCATTTTTACTTTCTGCAGAAAGGGTACACTCGCCAGCAGTTCTGCCGTGAGAGTACACCCAACAAAGGAGACAGGGTCATTTATAACCTGACGCGTCCACCCTACTGCCGTGTCCGGTTTCTGTTGACTGGAACGGGACCTCACATTCTGTATTCGTCCCAATTGCCTAGCAACTTAGAACTTTTTAAAAGAGGCAAAGGCAGAGGAGAACAAAGAAAGGAGGAAGTAACTTGTGGAATGCTGAGAAAGGTAAAAACACCTTCAAATAAGGAAGAAGAACAGTCTATGACCTATTGCTTCCTTGGACCAGTATAAGCATGCCAGGGCAAATATCTAGGCTAAATTATGGGAGCTAAGAACATAAAGTACATTTGTTTCTTTGTTACGGCTAGCAGATATTTAAGAATGTTAGCACAGGTCTTTGAATAAATTTTGCTTCTAAAAGAAGTTACTATTTATTCCTAATTAGCTGGAGAGGAAAGTCTTTGAAGAGGAACCTCTACTTTACTTTTTACCCACAGTCTACTCTGAACACCAGGCAGGCCTTAGATATTCTCCCTGTTTTGGAAAAACTTTCAGTCTGTATTTTTCCCGTGTTCTCACACCACCACAACAGTCATCAGCACAGAAGACTTGAGTGATCAACTTCTCTTTTTTCACGCACACCAGCTGGGTGCCCTCTAATTAAACTGCCATTGAAGGAGTGTTTGTGGTAGTGTGTATGGAAAACAAACTCCAGCCTCTACTATCTACCTGGAGGTAATGCCAGATCCCACAGGTTGAGGGCTCAGTCCCCAAGACTGCTCTTGCTCCCCAGACACCAGTTCCAAGTCTGGGTTTCCAGAACTTCTGATCTACTGGCTTTAAGTTGGGATTCCCACGACTCTCTTTTTGGTTTCAGCTGATTTGCTGGAGTGACTTACAGAACTCTGGGAAACACTTACTGTGTTTACTGGTTTATTGTGGAGGGCTATAGGATACGAAGGATACAGATGAAGAGATGCATAGGGTGAGGTATGGGTAAGGGTCTTGGAGCTTCCATGCCTTCCCTGGGTGTACTATCTCCTAGGAACCTCGACGTGTTCAGGTATCTGGAAGCTCTCTGAACTGTGTCCTCTTGAGTTTTTACAGAAGCTTCCTTACATAGGCATGATTGATTAAACCTTTGGCAGTTGGTGATCAACTTGACCTTCAGCCTCTCCCATCCCTAGAAGTTGTGGGGTGGGGCTGAAAGTCCCAACCCTGTAATCCTGCCTCTGTCTTTTTGGTTATCTGCCCTACCCTGAAGCTGTCATTCGCATACCAAAAGACAGCACTTGGAGAGTCTAAGGATTTTAGGAGTTACCTTAGGAAGCAAGAAGAAAGACCAAATATATATTTCATAATGTCACACCCTCTGTGTTCTCACTGCATTCATACAGGCCTCTGTTATATTTTTTTTAGTACATTGTATTTTAGTTTTTTACCCATTTGTCTTTCCATGAGATTTTGAGCACTTTTAGCCCAGGCACTTTCTTCTTGTGTATTGCCATGCTTGGCATGTTGTTGGCACTCAGATTTTATTTATGAACTGTGCCTTAAAAAGAATAGTGTACCTCTGTTGTAAAGTTTACAGTGGGTTAATATTTTAGATAATGTGTAACAATTTTGATTGTCCTTAAAACTCATTACAATGGGATGATATTTATATCCTTTTTTTCCCCCTCAACGACTTGGCCATTCCAGTAGAGATGAAGAGAAATTTATATGCTTCAAATTAGTGTTACCCAGTTGTCAGTCTTGTAACCAGAAAAGCAAATTTTTACTGATTCATACCTCACTCCTTTTCCACACCTACCCTCCATTTAGAGACAGGCATTGTGTTCCTCTTCCCATACATTTTTCTTTCCTTACTAAAATGTTAGGTAATAGAGCAACCCAGAAGGTAATTTGGGTTAGGAAATGAATATTGTCATAATTTTTATGTTTCTACTAGTTGTGCTAAATTTGTATTTATTTATCATCATTTTCACTTTTTCCAAAAGAGGGAATGTGTTTATAGGATGAATGACTAGGTGGCATTCTGTACCATGGGACATAAGGAGGTGGTTATGCATAGCAATGTAGTAGTACATGTTTACAGAGAGGGATAAAATGTCCACAACTCTTAAATGCTTTGAAATCTACAGCAGTAATACTTTTATGAAAACCACTGTATAATAAATGACTTCAAAGTAATTTGTTGGTTTGTGTATCAACAAGATCTTGAAAGCAAGAATCTTCTGGATGATTGGAATCTGGATGTTTCTTTTTGCCATGTCTGACTACTCCTGGTCTATTCTGCTCTGTATTTGTAATCAAGCAAACTCTTGAGATGATAATTTCCATGGGATCATTAGTAGATACAGCTTGTGACTTTCCTATATTTCAGACCAGTGCTAAAAATAGCTTGTGCATATGATCACCTCTATTACTCTGGTTTTATAGTATGCCGACAGGCTTCAGGATAATTGTTTACATAAAATTGGCTTGAATAAACCTTTAAAAAATGTAATCTTATGACTAAGCAAGCAAAATTTTAAATTTAAGAACTACTCACCCTGTGCTTGTGTGTGTAATACCTTTTAGCTGGCGTAATTTAACTTTGTAATTATCCCTTAATCATAAGCCATACAATTCTATAATAAAAAAGTTAATGCCTTCTTAAGGTCTATTCTAGTAGAAGAATGATGAGAAAATAGTAGTGTAGATTAGTTTTGGTCTCTACTCATTTTGCCTTCCGATTATATTACAACTCCAACTGGTGACAAAATGGCTGTGTAAATCCTGAAATCACTGAGCATTCATTTTAGCTTCTCATTGAAAGGTATATATTCAGTACGAATTGTAAACTGGCATTAAGGGAGAAAGTAGGAATAATCAAACTTGATCTGGGAATTACTTGCTGGTGCATTTACTCAATGCATAGTAATATCTTTATGAAGATGCAGAATACAAAAGCGGTTTTGGAGGTGGATAAGGAGGGCAGCGTACTGATAATGGGATTTTTTGATGTGGTTACATGGAGCACTGTAGTAGTAAAGTAAGTATGGTAAGTATTTGGCCCTGGAAAATGGATAGAAAAACAGATTTAGGAGTCATTTTCAGTGCTTATTGAGGGAGTAGATGTGTTTACTTGGGACTTGCTGGATTCAAAGATGTGACCTTGGGTTATATCGTTGTTGAGGGAAGAAAGGAGCAGAAAAATCCAGTGAAACGGATGTTTTTCTTTGTTTTTGCTTGTGCTGTCTTGAATTTTATGGTTCTTTTTTATATATCTGTGGAAGTTTAGCTCATCCTTTAAAATGATGTTCACATCACCTCCTCCAGTGAGACTTTCCTGGTTCTGTTTGTCAAAATATTTTTTTCTTTCCCTGTTTGCTCATAGTTATCTGTGAATTGGGTCTAGTTTACCCTTTAGATTATGAGCATCTTTAACAGTTGCCAATGGAAATAATATATTTAAATTTATGTTGCCTGAAATTAGTAGATACTCTTGGGGATTGTATTTTCAAATCTAACACACAGTTTCAAGAGGACTTGTCATCTTTTAAAAATAAATTAAAAGATACCTGAATAAACTTGGTGGGTTGAACACATGTATTTGCTTTCTGAAATCCCAAAGAAGCAATGAAGAAGTGATTTTTTTCTTTCAGAGCATAATTGATAAAGATGGAAAAGACAGGGAAAGGGGAAAATAGCAACAAAGTTATTTTAGAAACTGGAAAACAGAAGGAGATTGACTTACCTATCTACAAATAACTGTATTTTTAGCCACTGATAGAGGACGTCAAAGGCAGCCTAGTTGAAACTGTGGATCTCCTGAAGGCTGCATTATTAGCTTGCCAGATACTTCTGGAAATGGGTATGAGAAATTTAGCTGAAAACATGAGAACTGGTTAATAATCTGTTCAGAAGCAGAAATTTCTTCCCCCTTTTTGCTGAGTGACATTCCTGAACCTCACAATACTAAAAGTTTATTCTCTGGAGGAAGGGGACAGAAGGATTCTGTACTTGAGGGTATATGAGGCCCAGTTGAAGGGGTACACATTATGAGAGAGTTAAGTGAAAGTTAAGTAGTTATTATTGTGACCTACTTTCTTTCCCCATCTCCTTTCCTTGCTCCATTCTGCTTTCAGAACAGTGTAGCCAGGCACATGCTCTCCACTTAAGAGTTTAGAAGGTTCTTCTTAGGGAAATCTGACAAGTACAAGAGGT